TCTATTAAAGCGACGTCGGTTTCTATTAAAGCGACGCCGGTTTCTATTAAAGCGACGTCGGTTTTTATTAAAGCGAGATGCGCTTAGAACGCGAGGTAGGTTTCTATGGCAGTGATGTATACTTATTTTAAATTGGGTCGGCTTCGTTTAAGAACGGTAAACCGTTTTTAAAAGGGAGGTAGGTTTCTGCTACAGTAATGTCGACTTCTATTAAAGTAGAGGTAGGTCTTTCTGAAGAATGGTACACTGTTCTTAAAATGGGGTAGGCTTATATTCTACTGATGTACTCTTCCATTAAAGTAGGAGTAGACTTCTATTGAAGAACGGTACACTGTTCTGAAAAGGAGGTGGGCTGATGTAAGCCCTCTATTAAAGTCGGGGTAGACTTTAGGCGATGCATTGCTGGAATACATTAGTGATGCACGCGAGGACACGTCGTATTAAAAGTAAATTCATTGTATTGTCGCTCCGTGCGCACCGTCGTTCGTCTGGCAGTACGTGAGTGCGACTAGAGCTGAGAGCTGCAGGGGTTAAACCCGCCTCGAGCTTTTGTTCTTCGTCGTGTTTATCTTTACACGTCAAGGATATACGCGTGTGTGCTGCTCATCGTTCACGATCCATAAGGGGGACTTGTGTCGGGCTTGCGAGCCGACTCGACTGGAAGCAACTGGCTGCAATTCACTGCGACTGCGACGCGACTGCCTGCGACTGGCCGCCACTAGTTGCTCGGAATAGAACAGTGGGCAACTGGACGCAACTAGTCGCTGCCGATCGCTTCCAGTTGCTCGAAATCCAGTTGCTTCCAGTCGAGTCGACTCGCAAGCCCGACATAAGCCCCCCTTTACAGTCGTAGTCCGTCTCGTTCCGCAGTGGGTGTTCTACTGTAAGCATGCCCAACGTTCGAACGACGTGACATTCGTGGGTCTTTTACGATCACGTTGTTTGTTCGTTCGTGGACACTCTTACAAAACATGACCAACGTTCGAACGACGTGACATCCGTTGGTCTTTTACTATCATCCATGGTGGATCTTTTACTATGACGCTATTTGTTCGTGCATTCGTCGTGTGTGTGTGTGCGTGCGTGCGTGCGTGCGTGTGTGTGTGCGAGCGAGAGAGAGAGAGTGCGGTGTGATGGGTTTCCTTTATCCAGGCACTGGTTTTTTGTTGTTGTCACCAGATGCTCCTGGAGGGCATACAGGGGCCAGCACTGCTGCTGCTGCTGCTGGTGGTGTAGACAGGCACGCTGCGACTGCGCCATGAATAAACGACTAGGGCCTATTGCAGTACTGGTTTCTACGGCTCCGCGTGTGTGCGTGTGCGAGGGGAGGGGGGTGGGGAGATTAGTAGTTATGTATCTGACCCAGTGTTGAACTGGGCTTTTGCTTAGAGACAGGAAAGTAACCCCCCCCCCCCCCCCACACACACACACACCCTCACAACTCTCTCTCCCCGGCTCTGCCATCCTCCGACTAAAAGAGATAGTGTTTTATATTTGTGAGTTTGTTTTTCGACAGCGATAGTGTTTTAAAAGCGATAGTGGCAGTAGTTTAGATCGTTCAGTACGTTTAAAACGATCATTGCGAGAATTTTGCTCAGAAAAACTAAATATAGCTGAATATAGTCTCACCTGACAGCAAAAATATCACTGATTACACCAACATTCAAAACACCAATATTTTATGCAGTTATAGCATAGAAAAATTGATTTGACCACATCATACCAGCAATAAATTTTTTCGAGTCAGGACTTTCAAAAATCACAAATGGCGTCTCAAACAAGCGAACATAATTAAAACAAAGGGGCATCTATTTGTGTGTGATAAGTATTCTCGCTGGCGGTACGCAACGAGGATTTGATCCACTTCTCTCTCCGTCTTCGTTATGGTCCCTAGGACTTTTGAAGACTAATATTTATGAGGTTACAACTTACACTCTTGTTTGTGTTACGCTACTATGCACCTCTGTGTTTACATCTGACCAAAAATATCTCCGGTGCGATTTTTGCATTACTGTACCCTTGTTGACGTCTGTGCGAGACATGACAGCGAAAATCAACAAGAGAACGCAAAATTGTAATCGTGCATGATTTTGTCTTTGCATGCGGTTCTAAGACATTTTATTATTATTTCAAACAATTACTGTTATTCAAGCAACAACGGTAGGCATCATGAGAGTGAGAATAAACACTAAAAAACGCTGAAAAAAAACTCGCAATGATCGCTTTAATAGCTGCAGTTAAACCGCTTTGTGCGTGTGCTACTACTCCTAATAAACATTGTCTGTTTTTCTTGTTTCAGGTGATAAGTCTACCAGTTCCACCAGTAACCGGCGATGGATGCTCCGTCAGAAACTTTGAATTCACGATGTCACTGCTTGGAGACGGAGTGGAGTGCATTCAGAACATGTCGGCTGAGTACGTAACCATGCCGATCACGGGCCGTGACTTATCCTGCCTGTTAGAAGGGAGTCTTACCTTACTGTAACCGTGCACGGATTCAGGGGCTGGGGGTGGGGGGAGCCGGAACGCACACCCGTCTTCGATTTTGCCCTACAAAAGTTTGAATGAGAAACAGGCGGGATGTTTCTTTTTTGAACGAATTTTGGTTAGATACATGGGAAATTGCATCTACGAGGTTTTATTAAAAATAATTCTGGAGGAGGGCCCGTGGTACCCCACCCCACCCCTACCACGAGCTTCACAACCTCGTTGTTCGCAGGGCACCCTCTTTTTCATATCATGGGTCTGCCCCTGTGAAACAAAGCTCTTACCTTCATGTAACAGAGCTCTACTAATCTTTAAATTGACTACGTCACGAATTTTCTATGGTGTATATTGTAAAAATTTTGTTGCCATTTTTTACATTAAAAGTAAGTACTAACGGGACTATATTTTATTGTAAAAATTCTTACCTGATAATCCAAAAAACCTGGACGATTTGATATATACGTATGAGTCACTAGTGTATGTTTACATCGAACAATATAGTAAAATAGGAAATATAATGCAGCAATTTATCCATAAAAAGTAAACAGAATGATTTGAACATATTTCATTTGAAAAAATGGGGAATTTTTTTTTACCTTTACTATTTACGGTGATGTAATCACTTTAACAAACGTTCATTAGCAGTGACTGAGTCCCATCTTACAGTACACCTACCTACCTTTAACAAAGGTGTTAATTTACACCAAATCGCTGTAAATTAAGACTACGTTCCTGTAACGGGAGTCCCGCCTATTTGCTACAGGCGTCAAGTAGCAGTCCCAACTTTTACTAATATAAGTCGTTTTCCCCTTAACAAAGGTGTTATTTCGCTGTAAGCTGAGCCTTCCTGTATCAGGGGTACATGCTGCCGCTACGTAACCCTACATAGCTACTTGTCAGCAATTAAGTCGAAGGTTCGTATTTGTGTATTTTTCTCGAGTACCCGCACAGCGAACGAGGTCCGATTGCACGTGCCCTTGCAAACGCAACCGCCGCGCGTGATCGTGACTGACTCATAACGGCCGTTAATTTGCGCTGTTGAAGTTCGCTGGAGAGATTTTTCGCTGGCGTTCAAAGTCAACAACGCGTCTTCACTGTAACGTTACGCTAACGCGACGAGAACAGATTAGTTATGCCGAACCTGCATATAACGGTCACGCGAGGGGTAGGGGGTGTGCCGAACCTGCATATCACGGTCACGCGAGGGGTAGGGGGTGTTTCACGCAATAGAGATGGTCGCTAGCGTTGGTTAGGGTCGCATACGTGACATACTATAGGTATGCTATAAATTGTATTTGCATCTGAACAAGCTATACAATCTCTACTCAACGATACTCTACTTTGTCACGAATCCACAACATAATTTAGCTTGTAACACATGCCAACCGTCAACGCTAGCTGTACTTTGGTATAGTGTTTATGTATTAGTTCAGCGAGGAATATTTTCTTAGTGAGAATATTTCGACTATGTTAGCAGCGTATAGGCCTACGATATATACATACACCGAAAATAATTGAATTCATTGTTTCGACGCGTAACATCCTCGCGCAAGCTGTGAAAACGGCCCACATATACCTTGTCGACTGTTCGTATTTAACAGGCTATAGTTATTTTATTTTAGGAGTCAAATTGAGAATTTATGTCTGCTGCAGATTTTCGTTGTTGGATCTATCTACACATTTAACGTGCAGCATGATATATGAGCAACTGTGTTTGTATTTGTGCCGTTTGTGTACTCAAATGGGATACACAAAACTATATCCCAACAATTTGATAAACAATAAATTTTCAAATTTGTTTTGCAATTTGGTGGTCACAAATTTGGCAGCATAATGTTGGAAATAAAGATCTAGACACTTTACTTGTTTTGTTCATGATTTATTGTCGTTGCTCTACTGTTATAGATGTCGATGCATTCCATGACGCAAGTATAATCATTTTTATAAGCACAATTTTGAAACAATCATTGAAGCAAGCACGGTGTTGGCGTGTTGTATACGGTACAGCGGCAACAATGTGTTATAGTTATGTGTGCGAGTATTATATGGATGTACAAATGTATTAATATCAGTAGTACTTTAACAGAATATTTCTTATACATGTTATATTTGAAGCCATCGTCATTATTGAAGATAGGTGACAATATTATAGGCAAATATAAACTTGGGAAATAAAATTAGGAAAACGGAAAAATTATTTGCTTCTGATGGTAAATCTCAATTTTTTCTTTTTCACGACAGGAAAGATCAAGAACGTTACATACAACTCGAAAACGTTGAATGCTAACAGGACTATGATAAATAAAAATATAATTCCCACCATTCACAACGAGAGAATCGATGTTACCAATAACTTTCTATATTTCTAAACGTAGTTCCTTATAGCTGTGTAAATTGTACTCGCACTGTGTAATTCGTCAGCACTTCTCCGTGTACTGTCGTACGTGTATTTCTATTAACTACAGGAGCTTTCCTGAATAAATCTTATTCTTGTGGCACTGTCACACTTTCTTGTGCTTTGTGAATATCAAGTGTTAACATTTCTATACACTTCTTGTAAGACGGGGAGTCTCTGTCTACAATAATTATGTAATATGATATCAGTGAAACTCGATCAAAGACAAACAAAACTATTTAAAGGGATACATAACCCTAGGTTCCTTGCTTATTTTTAGTTAAAGTAGGCTTAAAACGATCATTGCGAGAATTTTGCTCAGAAAAACTAAATATAGCTGAATA